ATTTTTTAGTTCTCGGAGGACACAACATCTTTGTTGGTATGTGGTGCTGAGGATCGAACCCGGGCCGCACGCATGCCAGGCGAGCGCGCTACTGCTTGAGCCACATCCCCAGCCCAGCATGAAAAATTTAATGTACAAAATTTAGCCTTAAGAGAGTAGAAAGAGCTGGGCATGGAGGCTCACACCTAAAACCCCAGTGGCTTGGAAGGCTGAGACAGGGGAATCCTGAGTTCAAAGCCAGCCTCAGCAACTTAGGCCTCAGCAACTCAGGGAGACCCTGAGTTAAAATACATAAATATATATATATATATAGATAGATAGATAGATAGATATAGAGATAGATAGAAAGATAGATAGAAAGATAGATAGAAGATAGATAAATATAGATACAAGCTGGCAAACGAGACTTGGTGGTTGAACACCCCTGGGTTCAGTTCCTGGTACCAAAAAAGAGATCACCAGTTCTAGTTCCATGAGAAATGAACTACTTGACAATGGCCAATCCACTTTACTCTTAATGATTTTTAGATTTCTTTTGTAAATATAGGTACTGCTCTGTGATCTTAGTGGTCATTGTGTAACCCAAATAAGAAATATAAAGCATATTTATGCAATACCTTCAAAAATTAAAAGACGACAGATTGAAGAACAATCTTATGATATGGACAAAGTTAAGACAGTATACATGGGTCATTTTCTTCTAAATTAAGAATTCATGACTATGTGTAGCAGCACATACCTGTAATCCCAGTGGCTCAGGAGGCTGAGGCAGGGTGATCACAGGTTCAAGGCCAGCCTCAGCAATTTAGCAAGGCCCTAAGTACTTAGCAAGACTCTGTCTCCAAATAAAACATAAAAAATAAAGAAGGGGCTAAAGATGTAGCTCAGTGACAGAATGCTTGCCTAGCATATGTGAAGTACTGGGTTCAATTCTCAGCACTGCATATAAATAAAATAAAGGTCTGTCAACAACTAAAAAAACATTTGAAAAAATAAAAATGGGCTGGGGGGATATAGCTCAGTGGTTAAGTACTCCTTTCAGTCCCCAGTGCCAAAAAAAAAAAAAAAAATAGAATTTTTACCAGCAGAGAGCAAATTTATTCTCTTTTGCCAAGAGAAAGCATCTTTAGCTTTACATATTTTAAAATAAGAAAACTTGGTGTCTACTTCTGAAAATACTCTTCAGTAAGCCAAAAATAATTATTTTAAAAATAACCCTACAGTAGTCTGGGCATGATGGCACACACCTATAACCAGAACAAGAGGATTGCAAGTTCAAGGCCAGCCAGGGCAATTTAGAGAAACTAAATCTCAAAATAAATAATAGAAAGGACTGGGAATTAGTTCAATGGTAGAGCATCCCTGGGTTCAATCCCCAGTACTGGGGGTGAGAGGAGGCTCTATAATACCATAACTTGCTAGTGCAAAAATATTAGGTTAGGCTGAGAATCACTTGAGCCCAGTCTGTAAAACATAGTAAGATCCCATCTCAAAAAAAATAAAATAAAAGGAATTACAAGTGAAATACCATACCTAGGATTTTTAAAAATCCCTCAAGAATTGAAATGGATAAGGTATTAGAGGGTATTTCTATTTTGTGTTTTAAAACTTTCTTGATGAAAAGCAAAGAAACACACAGCATTTACCCCTGCTTGCATACATTCTCTTAAATATTAGGTATAGTAAATAACTCCCAAATTCAAAAAATGCAAACCTCAATTTTTATGTCTGGCTTTTGTTGTAGTCATCATGTTGTTAATCTTTTATTAAAATTTTGTTGGATAATTTTATAATTCCATTAGTTCCCCAAATCTCTCTTGTTTTGTTTTCATCTATAATCTATTTATTCCATCAAAGAACAGCAGAGATAGCAGAGCAAAGGAAGAGGAATAGGGGGAAGGAGGAGAAAAAGGAAAGAGAAAATACTGGGAAATGAGTTGGAACAAAACCTGTTAGCTTAGTTTAATTCCTGGTTTCTAGTCCTCTGGCTTCTCCTGTCAGCCAGGTCTATCCCAGTGTGACCTCATAAACTTATTCCTGTCTAACTGAAAATGCTGCATCCCTTACCCAACATCTCCCTTATCTTCCCATTCCGTAGCTTCTGGAAACCACTGGACTTTTTAAGATTCCATGTATAAGTTAGATATCGCAGTATTTGTTTTTCTGTGCCTGAATTATTTAACTCAACATACTGTCCTCTAGGTTTTTCCATATTGTCAAAAATGACATTTTCCTTCTTCTTTTTCTTTTCTTTCTTTTTTTTTTTTTTTTTTTTGTGGTGCTGGGGATTGAACCCAGGGCCTTGTGCATGCGAGGCAAGCACTCTACCAACTCAGCTACACCCCCAACCCACTTTCCTTGTGTTTTTTTTTTTAAGGCTGAATAATATTCCAGTCACATTTTCTTTATCCACTCACCCACTGATGGATACTTAGGTTGATTCCATGTCTTATCTATTGTGAATAATGCTGCAATTATGATGGGAGTGCAGAATCTTTAACAAGCTGATTTCAGATTTTTTGAGAATATACCCAGAATTAGGACTGCTGGATCCACCTGGTATATCTATTCTAATTTTTAGAGAAACCTCCATACTGTTTTCCAAAATGGTTGTACCAATTTACATTCCTACCAACAGAATACAGATGTTCCTTGTCATCCATATCCTTACCAACATCTGAATCCTTTGAAACAGCCATCCTAAGAGGTTTCAGGTGATATTTCATTGTGGTTTTAATTCCCATTTCCCTGATAGTGACACTGAGAGTTTTTTAATATACCTATTAGCCACTTGTATATTTTCTTTGGAGAAATGTCTATTCAGATACTTTGCCCATTTTTAAGTCAAGCTGTTTTCTTAATATTGAGTAGAGTTCATTATCTTTTGAATATTGACCCTTTATTAGATGCCATATTTTACAAATATATTCTCTCCACTCTGTAAGCTGTCTTTTCACTCTACTGATTGCTTCCTTTGCTGTGCAGGAGCTTTTTAAGTTTGATGTAATCTTGTAAGTGTATTTTTGCTTTTGTTGCTCTGTTTTGGGGATCTTGTCCAAAAATCATTGCCCAGACCAATGTCATGGATCTTTTGCCTTATATTTATTTTCTTCAGTAGTTTTATACTTTCAGGTCTTATATCTAATTCTTTAATCCATTTAGACTTGTTCTTTAGAGTATGAAATAATTATTTTGCATGTGTCTGTTCAGTTTTTCCAGCACCATTTATTGAAGAGATTGTCCTCTACCTATCATTTGTTCCTGGCATGTTTGTCAAAAATCAATTTTTTTTCTTTTTTTTTTTTATTGGTTGTTCACAACATTACAAAGCTCTTGACATATCATATTTCATACATTAGATTGAAGTGGGTTATGAACTCCCAATTT